TTCCACTCTTTTTACTAGTACCCAGGATAAGGATTTGAGTCCTTCCACAAGCTACATAGCCAAATGTATTCTAAGGCAACAAACCATGGTTTATCTGGGCCTGGCTAGTCTTGCAAGTCAACTAGGTAACATTTATTTTGATGCTTATACAATTATGAAAACATGCACACATTTAGTGAACATCAGCTTTGGATGACTGTAGAACCTATCAAAATGTCACCGTTTTCTTTCTGGTGAATCAGATTCCCTCTCATCAGTGTGCAACTATGCTGCTATCCCTGAGGCATTTATTCTATGAAGTATGAAGTTGCCTTAATATAGGTGGGTATAGTTTTAAATCTATGTTTCAATAAATATAACTTACATATGTTGCACGATCCTCGCAGTAGATAGCGCTATTTAAGCAATAGCGAAAATCAGACCTGAAAAAAATCAGGCCTGTACGGGATTCGAACCACTGACCTCTGCGATACTAGTGCAGCGTTCTACAAATTGAGCTAACAAGCCAACTGGGAGCAGGCCGTTAAGTTGATTCGTAATAAACCCGTGAAAGTGATAAATCAGATACAATGAAATATATGAAGTTCATATATTTCGAACTGTGGTATTAGATACATATGTTGCACGATCCTCGCAGTAGATAGCGCTATTTGAGCAATAAAAAATCAGACCTGAAAAAATCATTTTTTTTCAGGTCTGATTTTCGCCATTGCTTAAATAGCGCTATCTGCTGCGAGGATCGTGCAACATATGTATCTAATACCACAGTTCAAAATATATGAACCTCATATATTTCATTGTATCTCATTTATCACTTTCACGGGTTTATTACGAATCAACTTAACGGCCTGCTCCCAGTTGGCTTGTTAGCTCAATTGGTAGAGCGCTGCACTAGTATCGCAGAGGTCAGTGGTTCGAATCCCGTACAGGCCTGATTTTTTTCAGGTCTGATTTTCGCTATTGCTTAAATAGCGCTATCTACTGCGAGGATTGTGCAACATATGTATCTAATACCGCAGTTCAAAATATATGAACTTCATATATTTCATTGTATCAAATATAACTTAATTCACAATTTTTTTAGTGGTTTTTTTAGTTTACTCTTTTTCAACTTTTATAGACTAAGCCCTTAGATCATGATTCCTTCTTTTCCTTGGAAAAAACACTTTTTCTATCGTTCAAAAGTTCAAGTAATGACTTTAAATCATGGGAGGAGGAAAAGAAATCCTGGGTGTTAGTTCTTGGTGGTCTTTTTGAGCAAATGTTTCGAACTGACTTCTTGGCCTATTGCTTTGACAAAGATCGTGGAACTTAAGTTGATGATTCCAAAACACGTGAAATGTTTGGAAAGCATTTCTCTGGAGAAAGTCCACAGCCACAAGATGATACCAGGCATCTTTGTCATCCCAGAATCCATCTTAGTTCACATACTAACATCCATCCGCAGCAACCTGCACCCAAACGAATTTTGATGTTCTTGATTCAACTCATCTAACATCTGCCAGCCATGCTCTTCAGTGCTCAACTTTACAGTAATGCTTGAAGCCAAGACTCCTAAGATGAATCCGCGCACTTAAGAAACTCTGATTCTGCATCATCTTCCGCCAAACATCCCCAAAGCTTGTTAGAGACACTTCAGTTGTTATTGAAGATGATGATGATCTTACAATGCCACAGCAATGTCCACTTGAGGCCGCAATGGCTAAAGCTATAACAAGAGCTGAAGTCGCTGCCCTTTACAACCTTATTCCTCTGTTGCCATCAAGTTCTCCTTCTGTTTTAAACCAATTTTATGAGAAACTACCTTTTTCAGATCCCTTCTCCGTATCAGAGCGTCCTTGACATCCAGAGGGCTCACAAAATTCTGCACAATGAACGAAAAAGTTGGTAAGAATCCTTGTGGCATCGAGATGGTAGGTATCGGGCAGTTCTCTGAAGATGCCTTATCTATCTTACCGCATTTCTGTGCATTGGCAGACACCCACTGTTATATGAAGTAGTTTTTGGGGCTTCCCCAGAAGCCCTGAGGAATGATTAAAAGCATGGCTTCGTTTACTGTCGTTCGTCTCCTTGAGTATTGCCATCTTCTATAGTGATAAACATGGTGCCAGGAGTGAACACGTTCAAGAAAAACGTTCATTAACAGTATAAGATTGCGAGGTGAGCGATTTCATGTAAAGCCAGTTCGCTGTTGCAGTATTGCAGCGCTCTACGCACTGAACACGTGGAAACTTAGCAGCCACCATACTGAATCTCTGCTTTCTAAAGCACCAGAACTGTGAGTACAAAGCTTCTTTTCATCATGTCAGTCTATACCATACCACCACCGCCGCATATGAATGTAAAGGATGATGTTTCAACCAATTGGAGAATGTTCCGACAAGCATGGGAATATTATGTTACCGCCACTGAGTTAAACAAGAAGTCTAAGACAGTTCAGGCAGGTGCACTATGTTGCATAATGGGTTTGGAGTGTGTGATAGTAATGAATAGTCTTACTACTCTAACCGTTGAAGACAGGAGTGATCGTGCGAAGATTTTGACCGCCTTAGGCAACCATTTTAATGCCTCAAAAACATTTATTGTTTGAAAGAGTCAAGTTTGGATTTGCCAATCAAACTGAGCATGAAACTATTGACCAGTATATTGTGACACTGCGCTAGCTAGCGGAATCTTGCGAATTCGAGGTTCTCTGCGAAAGTTTAATCCGAGATAGATTAGTTATCAGTACCCGAGATTCAGCTACTCGTGACAGGCTACTTAGGGAACACCCAGTCCCCAATTTAACAAGATACATAGAGGCCCTAAGAGCCAGCGAATTGTCCAGAAAACACAAGGAGCAGCTTAAAGATGCAGTGAGTGATCCGCAAAATATCGTACACGCAGCATACAAACAGGGTCTTGGAAATAGAAAGGACATGAATCAAAGCAAAGTAAACAAGACAAAGCAAATGCAAAGCAATGCAAGTTCTGTGGCACCAATCACCCTTATGATAGAGCTAAATGTCCCACCTCAGGAAAAACTTGTCTTAAATGTGGCAAACAAGGACATTTTGCCGCTAAGTTTCTGGAAAAGAATCGTGATTCAAGTGTGCCAGCCAACAAGGTACATGACACAAGTGCAACACCAGGATATGCAGAGGGTGCCGAGCCAGCATGTGAGTCCGCATCTGACTCTGATGAGTCTATTTTTGTCACTGAACGCGTTGGAGTTGTTAGCAGTAACATAGGCAAATCCTCTTTCATGGTACCACTCACATTTCACACTGAGTACAGCCCCTATCATCACAACTCAACTAGATACAGGAGCAACATGTAGCGCTATGTCATATACCGACCTCCTAAATATATTGCAGAGTGGGGAGGTTGGGGAGGTCGAGTTGGACGCCCCTGGTGGGAACATAAGACTCTATGATGGACGTGTGGTTAAGCCATTGGGATCTTACACCTTTACAGTCAGCTTGAAGAGTCGCTCCAAATGCGAGACATCCTTTGACATCTTGGAAAATGCTCCTTGGCCTATCGTAGACGGCAACACGTCCATCAAGCAAGGTTGGATATGTTTAGGACCAGACCAGTCCATTCACTCATTAAACAGTGAAAATTACGAACCCCTTTCATTTGACAAACTCATGAGAGATTTTGAAGATGTGTTCACTGGCCTGGGTTGCCTTCCCGGGGAGTATCACACAGAGATCGATCCAGACATCAGACTAGTTCAGCATACTCCCCGACGTGAGCCAGTACCACTCAAAGCAAAGCTTAAGGAAAAGATCGATGAGATGGAGAAGCAAGGGATTATCGTCCAAGAAAACAAGCCGACCGATTGGATAAGCAGCTTGGTAGCAGTGCAGAAACCAGGAAAGTTAAGAGTATGCATAGACCCTCGAGATCTAAATCGAGCTATCAAGAGGTCAAAGTACCAAATGCCTACAGTCGATGAAGTTTTGCTAAAGCTAGCCAAGGCTAAAGTATTTACTGTCTTGGACGCAAAAGATGGCTTTTATCAAATAAAGCTAGACAAAGAAAGCTCCTTGCTTACTACATTCTTATATGTGCACGATCCTTCGCTGTAAAGCCCTATTTCAAATAGTGCTTTACTGCGAAGGATCGTGCACATATACGTTTCATAACCGCAGTTCATACATATGTTACTACATTCTGGACCCCATTTCGTAGGTACAGGTATTTACGAATGCCACAAGGTATCAGCAGAGCACCCGAAGAATATCAGCGTCGTCAGAACGAAGTACTTGTAGGTCTCAGTGGTGTAGAAGTCATTGCAGACGACTTTCTGTGTTATGACAGTGGAGAAACTATTGAAGATGCCCTAAAGGACCCATGACAGCAATTTACTAAACTTGCTGTATCGTGCTCGCAACATGAATTTGAAGTTAAACAAGACGAAGTTGAGGTTGCGGCTAGACCAAGTCACTTATATGGGTCATTCGTTCACATATGAAGGTCTTAAACCAGATCCCGTGAAAGTGGAGGCCATTGCAAGCATGCCCCAACCAGACGACAAAAAAGCAGTCCAACGTCTTCTAGGATGTGTCAACTATCTTTCCAGGTTTATGACAACAATTTCAGAAGTGTCTGAACCACTACGCAAGCTAACCGAGTAAAATACTGTGTTTGTGTGGGAAAGTCAGCAATAAGAAGCATTCCAAACCATCAAGAATATGATCAGCTCGACACCAGTGCTCAAATACTATGACGTAGCCAGTGAAACCACCATCCAATGCGATGCATCAGAGTCTGGCCTAGGAGCCAAGCATCTTCAGAACGGACAACTTGTGGCATTCGCATAAAGGTCATCGTCAGCTGTAGAACACCGATATGCACAAATAGAAAAGGAGTGATTGGCGATAGTGTTTGCATGCAGCCGTTTCAATCAGTATCTGCACGGAAGACAATTAACGATAGTGGAGACAGACCACAAGCCACTGGTCCCAATATTCCAGAAGTCGCTACACTCCACACTAAAACGGCTGCAACGGATGCTCCTTCGATTACAGAAGTACAATCTTCATATTAAGTACCTTCCTGGATCACAGATGTACATTGCTGATATGCTAAGTAGAGCTTACCTACAAGCTGATCACAGCCAACATGAAAACATCCCAGAGTATCAGATCTTTCAGCTCAGCCAGGAGCAATTGTTGTTTCAAGAGATTGCCAACATCAATCAAGTTGATTACATGTGTCCATCAGAAGGCACCCATCAGCAGATCAAACAATGCACAATCACAGATGCCACATTGCAAAGTCTCATGAACATGATTATGACAGGTTGGCCGCTTACTAAAGAGGAAATTCCAGTTTGTATCCGCGAGTATTGGAACTACAAAGAAGAGTTAACAGTTCAAGAAGGAGTCTTGTACAAACGAATGAAAGTGATTGTTCCTGCTTCTAGGAGACCTCAAATGATTGCAAGAGCTCATTCCAGCCATAATGGGCCTGATGCCTGTGTACGTCGAGCACGTGATGTGTTATTCTGGCCAAGCATGGCAGACCAAATAAAAGATCAAGTGCAGAATTGTGAAGTTTGCAACGACTTCTTAGCTAGACAACAAAAAGAACCGCTGATGACCCACAAAATTCCTGAAACCCCTTGGTCAAAGGTTGGACAAGATCTCTTCACCCTCGGTGATGAGAGCTATTTAGTGACTGTTGATTACTTCAGCGATTACTTTGAGCTTGATCTCCTATCAGATACTACCGCAGAATCAGTGGTAAATGCAACCAAACGCCACTTTGCACGTCACGGCATTGCTGACATGGTTACAGATAATGGCCGCAGTATTCCAGTGCACATTTTGCCAAGTTTACTCGTGAATGGGAATTTCAGCACACTTCAAATTCACCATTACATAGCCAAAACAATGGAAAAGCCGAGTCTTTTGTCAAAATTGCAAAGAATCTAGTAAAGAAGGCAAAGCGAGGTAACAAAGACCTCCAGATGTCCTTGCTCGAGTGGCGCAACACACCTGACAGTAATGGACTGAGCCCAGTCCAAAAATTGATGTCTCGAAGGACTAGGACTACCATTCCAACAAATGTAGCATTGCTGAAGCCAGAGGTCATAGATGGAGTGTATGACAACATCAAAAGAAAAAGACAGCAGGCCAAAGCAGCATATGAAAAACATGCAAAACCATTGCCCGAGCTCCAAGTGGCAGAACCAGTAAGCCTTCAGCCTGTAAATCCTAAAGCACTCTGGGAGAAAGGTTGATGTGTGGCAAAAGTTGGGCCACGCTCCTTTCTTATTCAAACAGAGAGCGAAAACCTGTACAGACGGAATCGTAAGTTTATTTGTCAAGATCCTAGCCAAGAGCAGGCCTCATTAGATATCAGTGGCACAAATCCGTCGAGTCAGCCATCACCCAGTGCAGGGTCATCAGCCAAGTCATTACCAGATGCCACGGCAGATCCTCCTTTGAATCAGGCACCAACTACGAGACAGATTCGTGAAAGTCTCCAGCCAAAGTCTACTGCAGTGGAAGCCATTGTGACTTCGCAACCACAACAGACTGTTGTTACTCGAAGTAGTAGAACTAGTGTGCGCCCTTGCAGGTTGGATGACTTTGTCACCTAGATACAATGAACTTTGAACTTTGAACATTGGTTGAGTTACTAATACAAAAAAATAACAACAACAAAAAAAACATTTTCGTCTTTCAGTGTTGAGTCAGCTCTCAATGTTGAGTCAGCTCTGTATGATTTTAATTCACATTCTATTTCTGTCACACGTTCGCCCCTCATGTTTTATTGTTACAGAAAAAGGGACATGTTGTATGAAGTAGTTTTGGGAGCTTCCCCCGAATCCCTGAGGAATGATTAAAGGCATGGCTTCGTTTATTGTCGTTCGTCTCCGTGAGTATTGCCATCTTCTATAGTGATAAACACCCACCACAAAGTATCTGCCGAGGCTAAATGGGTCTTACGGATGAAATGCAGCCCTAAAGATCTTGTACAGTAGCAAAATGTCCTTTATCCATTATTGAAGAATGGTACAAAGAACCTCGATTCCACCTTTTTCTCAGATCCTGTTGAGGAGCGGTACAGCTCTATGATTGGATGAGGTCAAATGACAAAGAATTCCAAATGCAGAAGTTGAGAGGAAATGTAGAGCAGTTGAAACAAGTCAGTGAGCTCCAGCAAATATTGGTGCCAGCCTACCTGCCCAACCTATAAATCGCAAACGTCTTGTTCTTTTGTTCATTGTTCTTTTACAAACAGCACTAATTGTCGCAGAAATTTTGCATGTGTTATGGTGTGTCATTTTGTAACATTACGTAACATAGCATGTATTTAAACCGCATTGTTCATGGAGTTTGTTCAGTTTTACCCAGTAAGTTCTACTGTATTTCATTGTACCGCACGTTGTGCAGCTTTTTCACCATTAGGCAGTAACTCGTCAGTATCGCAACAAATGTAAGTTTGTACTATGTAGTTTCATCATTATTTCGTTGTAGTTTTCCTACGTGTATTTAGCTATATTCTTTGCAGTTTTAACCGTTTCGTTTCATCTATGCCGACCGCTGTCACCAATTGTTGACATTAAATATTTTGTAAGTCGCATTAAAAATTGCCCTTGAGTTTTCCTTGCGGAGAGTTAGTCGCCCATGGCAGTTGCACAACCACTGGGGATTGATTTTGATGATGGACTTAAGTCCACCACTCCTCCCATAGCCCTTTTCTCAGTCAAAAGATCATTGGAATTGCTCTTAGAAATATACCCCTTTCATGTAGCTCTTCAAACAAAGCTTTGGCACAATTGTCACAGATTTCAGCGTTTTAGCATGCATGTCAGACACCAGTTGATTCTAGAGTGATTGGTGTTGGAAGTTGTTGTAATTACAATTTATTGAACATATGAAATAAACTTCAGTTAATCAACAACCCTTGTTTCTATTTTGAGCTGTGAGCTTTGCTGAATTCCAGCCTTTGGCCTGAGGGATCCTACGTGAGAATCCTGAAACTATCCAATCAGAGAGAACTTTTGTACAATCCAGGCGCCAAGAATATGTTTTATCTTTACCTAAAGTTAACACTACAAAATATGGACTCAAGTCATGGAGATAATTGCAGCCAAGAAAATGGAATGAACTCTCAAATGACATTAACAATTTTTTAATTTTTTAATTACACACTCATCAGACAGATTTAATCTGTCTGACAAGTGTGTAAGCACTTTTTTTTAAATTTTTTAAAAAAAATTTTTAAATGTAGACTAGTGAGCAGTACTTCTGTGAACAGTAGTTGTAAAACTTCTTTTATTTTCCGACGCGTTTCGTCTAACTGTCGTAGACTTCTTCAGGGAGTTTTACAAGTATAACTAAACGCCTGTATTTATAAGCCAAAGTTACAGGGGCCGATGACCATAAAGGCTTGGCGGGACTTACGAACAGGAAAAGGTGAAGTTGTGAAAAATTTTTGAAAAAGTTTTGAAAAATTTAACACGTGTAAGGCAAGGTGAGAAAAATATTTTGGGGGCCACGGCTAAAAGTGTCTGAACAAACTATAACAATCTTAGAGACGTTTAAGTACCTCACTTAGGTTTAGTATGGTTACAGGGCTCGTAAACTTGTTTGTGGACAGAATTCAATTTTTTCTAGACCACTTTTTTTATTTTCCAGACTCAAGGTAACAGTGAGATTCTTAATGGCCCGAGAAGAAGTAACTGTCTTAACTATGAAAACAATGAATTAAAACAATTAGTCAGGCGCGTCATAATGGCGGACCACATGGACGATGATAACAGTCCTTCGCCTATCGATCAAGGGATTAAGCTGTTGCAAGAGGTGACAGAATTACTTTCCGGTGCTGTAGGTGGTAATAACCGGCCTGCTGTAACTACCCGTACTTGTCATACAATGGGCAAAGAGAATGACATCACTTCTGTGCACACTTTTCGCTCTTCAGTTCTGTGCATACTTTTCGCTAGCTACGATGATGGTCGTGAAGTAGAAGTAGTTGCATCAAAAAACATGAAATGGAACCTACAAGCGGTTGGTTTGGAAAAGAAAAAAATTTGCTTTTCTTCCAAGGCTAATGCAACGGAGTTGAAACATAAACTTAAGGAAGTCTATCCTAAACTATCTACTGGCGACGGTTTTGATGTATTGCCACAAGGGTTGTCAAATTAATTGGTACTGCATTTTTTCTTTTTTATGTTTCAGGAACATAGTATTTTTCAACTCGACACCATTTCCTGAAACTAAAGTAATTACTACAAAAGTTAAGTGATTTCTTACTTTGGGAGTACAATTTACCAAATGATTTGCATTAATAAGTTATTTTTAAATCACAAAATTACACATGTGTTATTCGTATTCTTTGGAAGCGTTCCTCGTTTAGAAATCATTAAAATCTAGGACCAGCAGGTCTTGCAGCAAGACAGTCTATGGTAAAATCGCGCTGTGCAGCACCTAGAATTATTTTTCATCGACTGTCTTATCGTATAGTTAAAAAGCAATTGACCGGTTATTATTAAAAAATATCTCACACTGTAACTTCGTGTAGTACGTAATTATTACCACGCAGTCCTATCTGTCGTCCAAATGGGAAAAGAGCTTATTATTTTTGTTTTAGAGTTGAATTAAAGTGTGATTTTTTTTCTATGTACCATATTTCGTTGAAGAAAAGCGCAAACAGACTGTGAGAGTAATGAGTAAGTCACTATAAAAAAAACTAGCACAAATTAGGTTCATCCGTATGTCAACCACCTCTCGTTAAGACAGGATTGTGATAAAAATTTATAAAAAAAATTAGGAATTAATAAAATTAAACTACGATTTTGTATACATAATGTCTATACCCTTAACTAACATTTTGTGAAGTTAGATTATATTTCATAGAAACATACCGAACATACAGTAATGTAAAGTTGGTGGGTGAGAGGAGATAAAAAATTAGAGGGAAACCAAGAAAATTACTTTCGGCATGTCCCTCGATGCCAGTGGAAACGTCTAGACAATTCCCGCACGTGCGTTGTATGTACACTTTACTAACCCTTCTATTAAAAAAAAAAAGTTTAGCTTCAAACCCTAATGACCTCCTCTCGTCTGAGGTTAAAATTTTTAAAAATCTATAAAATAATTAGGATTACTTGTTATAAGTTAAGCTTTTCTATGTATAGTGTATTTGCCCTGAATTTATATTTTGCTAGGTTTCGATCAATTTCATTTAATGATAACGACGATACAGTAGTTTAAAGTCCGTCATACGAGAGGAGATCAACATTTAAGGGTAATCAATTAATATTTAACAAATAATAACTCAAATTATATATGAAGAAGGTGCATACTATTCTCTTTCGTGCGCGTTGTGTACCCTTTACAAATTATTTTTTTTAATAAAAAATCAGCATTCTTTTCTGTTGATTTCCTCTCGTATAACCCAGAATTTTTAAAAATCTATAAAAAATCCACGATTCATTGTAATAAGTTGTCCTTTTATATTCACAATATTTCTGCCCTGAATTTATATTCTCTTACGTTTCTTTGGATTTCATTATACAATAACGAAGATACTGTAGTTTAAAGTTCGTTGGGTGAGAGGAGATCAACATCAAAGGGGAATCCAAGAAAAAATTATCGAGGCAATTCCAAATTTGGCATGGTGAGAGTCTGCAACATTCCCCATCGTGCAGTGAATTTAGTTTTTACTAAGCCCTTCCATTTTAACGTTGAACAGGATCATCGTCGGTGAAGAAAAAAATGTAAGAGGAGTATAAGGATCACACTAGACGTTGTCGTCATAACTCAATTTTGATTTTTCACTATCTTTGGAACACTACAAAATCCTTGTTCTTGGAAGTTAAGAGCTCAAATTTTTAGAGGATATTAACGTGGACATTTCTGTGTTGCGTGCCAATTTGCACGTGATGAGGTTGAGTATTTTGGGTTTTATAACTATTTTT